CTCTACTTTGCATGTTGCAGGAAGGGACTAGTCCTTGGAGAGGGACATCATGCTTGGAAGGGTGGAGAGACAGCGCAAGAGGAAGACCCTGTATGAGATAGATGTCTCAGTAACTGGGGTAATAGGGATAGGTGTGTCAGAGATGATGCGATTGGCTCAGGATAGAGCAGGGTTCAGAGCTGTTGTACATAGGGTCAGAGCCGATTCGTCAGCACATAACAGCAACTACTTCAGAAAAGTAGAGCAGTTTGATCCACCAGCTGCTCCTTAGGAAAAGGATGAGCAGTCTCCTTTCATGTGATAAACTGCCTCTGAAAACCCACTGGAGGGTCAGCGATGGTCAGTTCTGGCTCAGTGGTACTCATCAACAACAACAACAACAACTTTAGAAAAATTATCACGAGCTTATAGAAAAGTTGAAAGGACGGTACAGATAACTTTTCCCCCATGAGCAATTTAGGTGTGAGTTGCCAAGCTACTGCTTTAAATATGTTAGTGTGTGTTTCATACAAACAGAAGTCTTTTCCTGTGTATACCAAAAATCTAAACTCACTTCCGTAGACTTAATTGCCCCGTAGGATTTTCAAGGCTATTCATCTTTGCAGAAGCATACTGCCACATACTGTCCCCTGCTGCAACTGGGGTTTGAACTGCAAGCCTTTGCATTAATAGCTGAATGCTTTAACTACTTTTCCTTTTGTAATCACAGTAGAACCATGGAATTTAATGTGTATACATGATTGACATTTAATCCTCAGACCTCATTCAAATTTCATGAGTTCCTTCAATAATAATATCCTACAGGAGAGAGTTGAGAATCATGTGTTGTATTTAGTTTTTGCGTCTCTTTGGTTTCCTTTAGTCTAGATATTTACTGTCTTTTCTTGACTTTGTTACCTTGACACTTTTTTGTGTGTGTGTGTGTATGTGTGTACCATCAAATTGGATCTGACTGGTACAGGAGGTGATTGCCCCTCTTTCTCCAGCAGAGCATCTGGTGGATTCAAACTGAGTACCTCTGGGATTGCAGTGCAGCCTTTTGCTACTAGGCTGCCAGAGCTCCCTACCTTGACAATTTTGAGGCAGCTGTTCTGTAGAATTTCCTCAACTTAGATGCTGATGTTTATTATATTTAAATTTATAGTTATTCAGCGGTTTCATAATTAGAGTCAACTTACATCTTAGAGAAGAACGCCGCAGATGTGATACTGTGTTCTCATTGTGTCCTGTCAGACAATAGATAGTTTCAGTTAGTATCATTCCTGATGTTCATTTTGGTCAAGTAATGTCTTGGGCTTGCCTCTCATTGTTTTTGTTCAAACATTCCTCTAGGTCATATAGCCCTGGTGTACAAGTTGCCGTACCGCATCACTTGTGGTTGCTGTGAGGCTGAACACTGTGACACGGATGTGTCAGATGCGTTAATGGTTGGCTACCCAATGCAGACAGTGTAGGCTGAAGCTCCCCGATTAAAACAAGCTTGAAAGCAGGAGTGGCATCCACTTCCATAATAGCTTGCCT